CCTGTTCCAAACAACTGTGAGAGGCCAGAGAAATTTCTAGAGATACAGAAGGTCACTTTGGACAAGTTAGCTACTCTGAGGCTGCTTTCTCACTTGTAAAATAGGCATAATAATGCCTACCATGTATGGCAGTTGTATTGGAGATAAGATCTCTAAAAGATACCTAGCAAAGCACCTGACACAGCCTAAATACTTACAAATGCTATTTGTTATTATGATCACTTTCCCAACACATTCTGCCTCATATTTCAGGAGCTCAGGAAATGGATGCTGCTTACCCCACAATGAGTTAAGCAAATGTGCTGATAGAGGGTAGGTGCCCAAGGGACACCTTGGATTCTTTAAGAGTGCAGGAAGCCAACCAGTGTGGGAGAAAGTGCAGAGGACCATCAGCTGGAAGCTTGGGTTCTAGTCCCAGCTCCTCCAGGTCCTGGCTGTAGGACCTCAGGGAAGTCGCTCAACCTCTTTGAGCCTCAATGTCTTCATCTGTAAAATGTAGATAAGAATAATAAGCAGGTTTCCATAGTCAGAAGAGAAGGAAATAAAATTAAAAAAAAAAAAAAAGAATAATAAGCAGGCTGCCTCCATCACTGGGCTGTGGCTCAGCTTAAATGAGGTTAATTGTTGTTAATTGCTTTGTGAAGTGGAAAAGTTTTCTCTAAATATAAGGGGCTATTATCCTTACAACATTACAGATCTAGCATGGGTAGCTACATCACAGAGGGTGGAAAGCAGCTTCCCTCTGCCCCTGGGAAAGACAGAACCAGAGGAAACCGGGGCAGCAGGTGAGTGCAGGTGATTAGAAGGAATAGGTTTTGGGAAGCCAAAGTGGCTTAACACTGGAATTGTTGACTACAGAAGGAATACCTCTGGGTCAGGGACACTAGACCATTTTGGGTTTTTGTTAGTTTGTTTGTTTTGAGATAGAGTCTGGCTTTCTTGCCCAGGCTGGAGTGCAGTGGCATGATCTCCGTTCACTGCAACATCTGCCTCCCAGGCTCAAGGGATCCTCCTACCTTAGCCTCCCAAGTAGCTGGGATTACAGGTGTGTACCACCATGCTTAGCTAATTTTCGTATTTTTAGTGGAGATGGGGTTTCACCATGTTGGCCAGGCTGGTCTTGAACTCCTGACCTCAAGTGATCAAAGTGCTAGGATTACAGGTATGACACACTGTGCCTGGACTTTTTTTTTTTTTTTTTTTTTGAGACAGAGTTTTGCTCTTGTTGTCCAGGCTGGAGTGCAATGGCACAATCTCAGCTCACTGCAAACTCCACTTCCCAGGTGCAAGTGATTCTGAGTCTGCCTCCCAAGCAACTGGGATTATAGGTATGTACCACCATGCCTGGCTAATTTTGTATTTTTAGTAGACACAGGGTTTCACTATGTTGGTCAGGCTGGTCTCGAACTCCTGACCTCAAGTGATCCACTCACTTCAGCCTCCCAAAGTGCTGGGATTACAGGTGTGAGCCACCCTGCCTGCATCCATTTCTTTCAAATTCCAGTAATGTCAATAAATTGTAAAAAGTCATAGACAGGACTGCCCATGTATGGGATATCTTTCATGTTTGATCCTGGGAATACATGAGGTATGAATCTAAAGGGTCCTGTGTCTGTGGGGTCACAATTGCATCAGCAGCTCCCCAGTCCCCATATATCTAAATAACCTCATTCAGAGATAATACCCACCTGTACATTTGAGGCCATGTAGAGGGCCTCCTGGTCTCCCATGGTAGGCTCTGGGAGAGGGGAGAAATAGATTTATCCTTTAAATTCTCACCTGAGGTTGGGCATGGTGGCTTACACCTATAATTCCAGCACTTTGGGAGGCTGAGGTGGTGAGAGGATCACTTGAACCCAGTAATTTGAGACCAGCCTAGACAACAGGGTGAGATATCCCCCAAATTTTAAAATTGGCAAGGCATGATGGCACATGCCTTTGGACCCATCTACTCCAAAGGCTGAGGCAGGAGGATTGCTTGGGCCTGGGAGGTTGAGGCTGCAGTGAGCTGTGATCATGCCACTGCACTCCAGCCTGGGAAACAGAGCAAGACCCTGTCTCAAAAAAATCAATCAATAACAAATAAAAAATATAAACTTGACCAGGCGCAGTGGCTTATGCCTGTAATCCCAACACATTAGGAGGCTGAGGAGGGAGGACTGTTTAAGCCCAGGAGTTCCAAGCTGCGAGATATGATCTCCAGCTTGGGTGACAGACTGAGAGTCTGCCTCAAAACATAGAAATAAAAAAATAAAATTTCCCAGCATAAGCTCCATCAAGTTCAAGATGAAAATGCATCTGCTATGTGCCTGGGCTATCTTTTGGGGGCAATAAAAATATTCTGGAATTAGATAGTGGTGATGGATAAACAACTTTGTAAACATACTAAAAACCACTGAATTGTCCATTTTAAAAAGGTTGATTTTTGGTCCAATAGGAAAATCTAAAACCTCAATTACCGAGGCGGGAGGATCACTTGAAATCAGGAGTCTGAGACCAGCCTGGCCAACATGGTGAAATCTCATCGCTACTAAAAATACAAAAAAAAATAAACATGTGTGGTGACATATGCCGGTAATCCCAGCTACTCGGGAGGCTGAGGCAGGAGAATCTCTTGAACCTGGGAGGCGGACGTTGCAGTAAGCTGAGATTGCGCCATTGCACTCCAGCCTGGGAGACAGAATGAGACTCTATCTCAAAAATAATAAATAAATAAATAATAAAAAAAATAAAACCTCAATTAATTTCAGTATGACTTTGTCAAGCCGCAATTATTTGCTAAGCACTTTATATGCTAACTCACGGGACTACCAGATGAAGTAACATGGTTATTGCCACATTACAGATGAGGCTCAGAGAGCATAGGTACCTTGCCTGGGGTCACACCGCTTGTAAATGGTAGAGCTGGGATTCAAACCCAGTCTGTATGTTCTGAAACCTGTGCTCTGTGTACTTCCCCCAGGCTGCCTAACAAAATAAATAGAAAGCAGACCACACTCCCCTGTCCCCAAAACTTCCAAATTGTACTTTGGTTCAGTCTTCCTTTATTTCATTTCATCTCATCTCTAGTCCCATCCTCTGTGTCACAGGTCTTGCTCTGTCAGGCTGGAGTGCAGTGGCACAATCATAGCTCACTGTAGCCTTGAACTGCTGGGCTCAGGAGATCCTCCTGCCTTAGCCTCCTGAGTAGGTTGGGACTACAGGTGCACATCACCATGTCTGGATACCTTTTTATTTATTTCTATTTTTATTTTTGTAGAAATGTGAAGGGAGGGTCTTGGTTTGTTATCCAGGCTGTTCTTGAACTCCTGGCTTTATGCCATCCTCTTGCCTGAGCTTCCCAAATTGCTGAGATTACAGGTGTAAGCCATCGTGCCCCATCCAGACTGATGCACTTTATAAACCACACACTGTAAGCTCTACACAAATGTAAACTAGTATTTTCCTCTTTCCTTCCACTAAAGTATCTCTGTTGTCATGTCCAAAGCCTCAGAGTCTTTCAAGGTTAAACTCAGTCCTCTGCAACTCTGCAGCTTCCAGATGGCAGGGCAGGCAGGGGACTTTTCTTTCTGGGTTCTTGTGACACTCACCACAAAATCAGTACCATGTAATGCCCTGGCCTGCCCTGGGCTGTGTAACTTCTTTTGTCTATGTTCTTGCCAAGCACCTGTTTGACCCTCTGAGCAGTGAAGCAATAGCTGTTTTCCCCTCAACCTCTCTTACTCTTATTTTTCTCATTTGCAAAATGGGAATGATGGTAGCTATGTTGACCTTACCCATGAGTCTCTTCCCAACCCCACCTTGAGCATGTTGTGAGCGGAAGTAGTCCTGCCTTAGTGCATTGGTTCTCAAAGTGTGGTCTGGAGAGCCCCTAGGGGGTCTGATACAACCTTTCTAATTACATACCTGTGTGAGGCTGGGTTTTCTTCATATACTTGAATCAACACTTTACAACAGCTTGAACGAAGAAACAGATATGAGAATATAGCTGTCTTCTATTAAGCCAGATATTAAAGTGCTTGCAAAAATATTAAATAATGCCACTGTTCTATTTTTTGTTTCTGAAAAAAATAATTAAAAATATAATGTCAACATGTAATAGGTTATTTTATGAATTAATAAACATTTAAAACATCCTCAGTTTTAATTTCTTTTTTTTTTTTTTTTTAGAGACAGGGCTTCACTATGTTGCCCAGGCTAGAGTGCAGTGGCTATTCACAGGCACAGTCCCGCTACTGATCAGCAGGAGCTCAGTTCCAGTTTCCAATACAGTAATTATCAATATATGCAATCCACACAAACAGATGCTCTTGGAGATCCTCAATAATTTTCAAGAATTAAAATTCGAGACCCAAACTTTGAGAACCTCTAGAGAAAAGAATAGAGTTCCAGATCTAGATTTTTCAGGTACCTCGTGGTCTGAGCCCTCTCTCACGCTTCAATTTATCTCTAATATAATGATCCTCATTCTTGTGACGTAGGTGGCTCTTAGTTTCTTCCTTTTCCTCATGTTTAGATCTTGCTCTATGTGTGTTATATAGGGATGATCTCTGGAAGGATACACAATTAACTGGGACAGCGGTTGAAGGAAGGGAGTTCGGAAACTGGGAGAAAGTGGCACCATAAACCTTTCTGCTCACTGTTTGATTTTTTTAAATACAGTACATCGTGTATGCATTGCCTGAACAATTAAAAGTATGAACAATTAAAAGTAAAATTACATTTTTGATGGATAGGAATGCAGGAGAAATTGAAGCCGGCTCAAGTAAAGTGTGTTGACCGACAATGAAAAACAATAACAGTAAGAAAGTTTTCCTTGTCCGCCTTCACCGGGCTCACTAACACTTAGCTCGGGTTCCCTCTGGCTCCTCTCCCGCCCACCAGGGTTAAGCCCAGCTCATATTCAACCCCGCTCCCCGGCCCCGTCCGCTTCGCGGACCGCAGCCCCGCCCCACCACCGCCTCGCCCCGCCCCGCGGCGACGTCACCTCCGGCAGACCCGCTTCCCCGAACTCCCCCTGGCTCCCGCCTTCGCCCGCTTCCGGTCGTCGTCGTCGCCGCTGCTGCCGCTGCTGCTGCTGCTGCTGCTGAGGCTGCTGGCGGAGGCCGGAGGATCGGGCGGCGGCGGCGGCGGCGGCTGAGAGGGCGGCGGCGGGAGCGGAGCGGTACGAGGGAACGAGAGGAAGCAAGCGAGGAGCGCGCGGAGTGCGCTTTTCCGCTCGCCTGAGGAGCCGGAGCATCCCCGGCCCCGCCGCCGCCGCCTGCCAGCTGGACAAAGCCGAGAGCCCGCGCCCACAGCCATGTCCTCGTCCGCCGGCAGCAGCCACCAGCCCAGCCAGAGCCGCGCCATCCCCACTCGCACCGTGGCCATCAGCGACGCCGCGCAGCTACCTCATGACTATTGCACCACGCCCGGGGGGACGCTCTTCTCCACCACACCGGGAGGTGAGCGCCGGCCAGCCGTCCGCCGCGCTCGGTGTCCCGCCGCGGTCCTCTAACTCCTCGGCCCCAGCTCCACCGAAGCCCCGGGGACGCTGCCCTCGGGCCTGCCCGCGCGTTCGGGACCCTTCACTTCGCGTTCTCTCTTGCCCGCTGATCGAGTCCGCGCGCGCCCCACTCGGGAATGTGGCTGTCCTGACGCGAAAAGAGCCCTTGTTTCCGCTTCGTGGCAGGCTTACGCACTCGACCCAGTTTTCTCTCCCCTTTCTGCCTCTTTCCCGGGCGGATTTGGCTCGACTTGGCCTTGCATTACACTCTGCGTTGTCTGTCTCTTGCAGATTGTGCAAATTAATGCTTGATTTTGGAGCTGGCTCCGGGCCTTTTTAAAAAAGGACTTGGGGAGAGGAATTTGGCCCTGGGATCCTGCGATAGCTTGTTTTGCTGCTTTTGGAACACTGGGAGGAGGCTGGAATGCGGAGTCTGGAAGCCTCGCCCAGCGTTATCCTGCTTTGACAGCATTGTTTACTTTGCTGGAAGAGGCCCCACGGGTGAGGGGAGTCCCCAGGCCGGGAGGAGAGAGTGATATAATAAAGCTCAAGTAATAGCCAAGGGAAAGTAGGTGGGGGTGGTAGGGCGCTGGCAGCCTTAAGGCAGGGTGTCTTTCGGCGGCGACGCCTTTGGAGATGGATTGAAGGACCTTTATCAAGGACACCCCAGTTGGATAAGGGGGTTGCTTGATCCTTAGAAGGGGCTAGAGAGGCAGTTAAGAGAGTGGATGGTTCCCTGGCATTGCTTTTCAAAGCACGACCAGGAACTGTTTACAAGTAACACTGGAGTAGAGGTGAAGCTTGGTCACGGGAAAAGAGAGGTCAAAGGTTGTCCGTGCCCTAACTGGGCTGTCCTCCAGAGGGAGGAGCCTGGAAAGCGATTTTGAGGAGCCTTATTGAAGGAAATGGGGCCTCCTTTTTGACTTCAGAACTTTGCCGCCTTTTGGTGTTGGGGTGGCCTCTTGTTAGAGGGTGGGGACTTAGCAGCTCCTGCGGTCTAGAGGATTGCTAGCCTGTTCCTGTGGGCAGGGCTCAAGAGTTGTACTACAACCAATCCGGTGCAGTTAGGCCTGGACCATCCTTAAATCCGTTGCACAATAGCAAGGCCTGTGGAGTAAGGAGACCTACTTGCCAACACCAAGGGATAAAAATCTAGGAGAGAGCTTTACAGAGAAATTCAGCCAGGCCGCTCTAGGGGAGTGGCTGCCTTGGAAGGCTTTTTAAATAACCCAGGCAGAAGTTCATTAATATGTATGGAGAGCTGGGTTTAAGGAACTGTTAACTTTACAGAATAGTGGAGTTCTTAGGTGGCTTACTTAACTCATGGAAGAAGACTTCTCCATGATATGATCGATTCAAGACTAAAGACGGTAAACCCTGTGTTTGAGCATGGGACAGGGTCTCACTCTGTCACCTGGGCTGGAGTACAGTGGTACGACCTTGGCTCACTGCATTCTCCACTTCCCTAGGCTCAAGCCACCCTCCCACCTCAGCCTCCTCAATAGCTGGGACCACAGGCACATGCCACCATGCCTAGCTAATATATTTGTATTTTTGGTAGAGTCGGGGTTTCGCCATGTTTCCCAGAGTGGTCTTGAACTCCTGGGTTCAAGTTATTCGCCCCCCTCTGCCTCCCAAAGTGCTGGGATTACAGGCGTGAGCCACTGCACCTGGCCGAGTTCTTGCTTTTTAATCCTGAAAAATTTTGGCAGACCAGAATCGGCTCCAGATAAGAGTTGTCTTGAACTTGAGCTGATAGCTTTTAAGAAATAGATGTTGGCCGGGCGTGGTGGCTCAAGCCTGTAATCCCAGCACTTTGGGAGGCCGAGGCGGGTGGATCACGAGGTCAAGAGATCAAGACCATCCTGGTCAACATGGTGAAACCCCGTCTCTACTAAAAA